AAATACAATATCTGTGTTGAAAATTTCACTAGAGGGGTTCAACAGCAACTTTAAGCAGGCAGGTTACTATAATTTTAGTATGTTATATGTAATCCCAATGGTAACCACAAATTAAGTACTGTATCTATACACAAAAGAAGGCAGTAATGGATGGAATAGAGGGGGAAAGCCATAAGACATCCATAAGTCATCCATAAGTCTTATCAGTAATTAAATGTAAATGGGGGGAAAACTCCCCAATCAAAAGGCAGAGGTTGGCATAAGAGTTTAAAAACTCCAATTCTAAGCTATCTATGAGAGTCACTCTAAATCTAAAGACCAAAAGATGGAAAAGAATACTCCATGCAAAATAGTAACCAAAAGAGAGCTGGCCTGGCTATGTTAATATCAGACAAATTTTAAGTCACAATTGTTACAAGAGACAAAGAAGGAAATTACATCTTGATAACAGTTTCATTATATCAAGAAGTTACAACAATTATTAACATATACATAAACAGCAAAGCTCTAAAATACATAACTCAAACATTGAAGGAACTAAAGAGAAATACAGTTTTACAGTAGTTGGACACTTAAATACCCCACTTTCAATCATGGATAGAACCACCAAACAGAAGATCAAGGTAACAACACTATGGAACAGTTAAACCTAACAGTCATATACAAAACACTCTACCTAACAACAACAGGGACACATTTTTCTCAAGTGTACATTAAACATTCCCAGGACAGACTACATGTTAGGCTGCAAAACAAGTCTAAATAAAAGAATGAAACTAGAATTTAGTAGCAGAAGGGAAACAGGAAAATTTACAAATATATAGAAAATAAACAACATACTCTTAAACAACTAATGGGTCAAAGAAGTCACAAGGGAAATTAGAAAATATCTTAAGACAAGTGAAAGCATGGGGTGCAGAGAAAGCAGTGCTAAGAAGAAAATTTACAGTTGTAAATACCTACATTAAGAAAGAAAGATCTCAAATCTACAGCCTAAATAGAGCAACTTTTAGCTGCATTGACTAAAAAAAGACATTAAAAATCTGAAATGAGAGTGGTAACATTGATTTTACAGAAATTTTAAAAAAAGATTATATGAGAGTACTGTGACCAATTATACACCAATAAATTAGAAACCCTAGATGTAATGGACAAATTCCTAGAATCACATAACCCACCAAAACTAAATTGTGAAAAAATAAAAATATGAATAGACCTATGACTAGTAAAGAGATTGAATAAGTAATCAAAGACCTCTCAACAAAGAAAAGCCCTGGGTCAGATGGCCTCACTTATGAATTCTCCCCAATTCTTCTCAAACTCTTCGTAAAAATTGAAGGGGAGTGGACCCTAATACTTGCTCATTCTATAAGGCCAGCATTACCCTGATACCAAAGCCAGCCAGAAAGTACAGGCAAAGAAAACTAACAACCAGTATTCCCTTCTAATTACTGATGCAGAAATCCTCAGCAAAATACAACCAAACCAAATTTAGCAGCATATTAAAAGGATTATAGATCCTGAACAAGTAGGATTTATTCTTGGAACGTAAGAACGGTTCAACATAGGAATCACCTTAAAATAGTAAAGACCATATATGAAATCCCACAGCCAACAACATACTCAGTGGTGAAGATGGAAAACTTTTCCCGAGATGACCAAGACAGGGATATGACGTCTGCTGCCTCCATTCAACATAGTGGGAGGGGCTCAGAGCGTTAGGCAAGAAAAAGAAAAGTCAAGCCATCCAAGTTGGTAGGAAGAAGTAAAATTATCTTAGTTCACAGATGACATGATCTCATATATAATAGCCCAAAAATATCCTAGTAACAGAATCTTAGAGCTAATAAAATCCAACAAAGCTGCAAGATACAAAATCATAAAAATCAGTAGCATTTTATACACAAATAATAATTCAATTTATAATAGCACCAAAAATAATAAGTACTTAGGAATAAACTTCACCGAGGCAAAAGACTTGTACACTGAAAATCGTAAAACATCAATAAAAGAAACTAAAGACACAAATGAAAAGACATCTTGTGTTCATGGATTGGAAGACAATGTTAAGATAGCAATACTGCTCAAACTGATCTACAGATTTAATTCAATTCCTATCAAAATCCCAATGACTTTATTTGCAGAAATAGAAAGAATCCTAAAGGATCCCAAGTGGCCAAAACAATCTTTAAAAAGCAGAACAAAGTTGAAGGTCTCACACTTCCTGATTTCAAAACTTACCATGTAAAGTTACAGTAATCAAAGCAATGTAGCACTGGCATATGAACAGACAGACCAATGGACCGCACAGAGTAGAGTGCCCAGAAATAAACTCTTGCATATATGGTCAAATGAAATGTGCCAAGATCATTCAATGGGGGAAAAGACAGTCTTTTCAACAAATGGTGCTGGAAAAATTATCTACATGCAAGAGAATGAAGTTGGATCCTTACCTTACACCATATACAGAAATTAACACAAAATGAATCAAAGACTTAAATGTGAGAGTTAGAAATATAAAACTCTTACAAGAAAACAGGTAGGGGAGAAGCTTCATAACAACAGATTTGGCACTAAAAGCAAAGGCAACAGAAAAAAAGATAAATTAGATATCATCAAATTTAAAAGCTTTTCTTTATCAAAGGACGCTATCAACAGAGTAAAAAAGGCAACACACAGAATGGGAGAAAATTCAGTTGATTCTTGAAAAATGCCAGGGTTAGGGGCACCCACTCCCCACACCGTCAAAAATCTGTTTATAGCTTTTGACTCCCCAAAAACTTAAGTAGTCCCTTGGTACCCACAGTGCATTAATTCCAAGACCCCACCTCAGATACCAACATCTGCAGATGTTCCAGTCCCCTATATAAAATGGCGCAGATCAATCCATACAGTTGGCCCCCACTGATCAAAAACAGTGCAGGTATTTATTGGAAAAAAATACTGATATAAATGTACTGGCACAGTTCAAACTTGTGTTGTTCCAGGGTCAATTCTATTTGTAAATCATAAATCTGATAAAGGACTAATATCCTGAATATACAGATGAGAACTCCAACGCAGCACAAAGACTTGAATGGTCATTTCTCTAAAGAATATGTACAAATGGCCAGTACACAAATGAAAAGATGTTAAACATCACTAGTAATTAGGGAAATGCAAATCAAAACCACAATGAGATACAACTTATCATTCATTAGGATTGTTATTATCAAAAACTATGTTGACCAATATGTGGAGAAACTGGAACCCTATACACTGTTAGTAGAAATATGAAATAGCACAACTGCTGTAGCAAATAGTATGGAGGTTCTCAAAAAATTAAACAGAATTACCTTATGGTCCAGCAGTTCGACTTCTGGCTGTATGCTCAGGAAAAAGGAAAGCAGGGATTTTAACAGATATTTGTACACTAATATTCATTATAGCATTATTCACAATAGCCAAAAAGTGAAAACCACCCACATGTCCACTAACAGAAGGATAAACAGAATGCGGTATATACTTACAATGGTCTATCACCTGCCTTGAAAATAAGAAATTCTGTACATGCTAAAGCATGGATGAACCGTGAAAACTTAATTTAAATGAAAGAAGCCAGACACAAAAGGGCAAGCACTGTATGATTCCACTTAAATGAGGTACCTTGAGTAATTAAGTCATAGAAACAAAGTGGAATAGTGGTTACCGGGGACTTGGAGAAGGGCGTTTGGGAGCTAGTGTTTAAGGGGTACAGGGTTTAGTTAGGGGTGACGAGGCAGTTCTAGAGATGATAGTGTTGATGGTGTACTACAACATGAATGTACTTAATGCCACTGAATTGTACATATAAAAATAGTTAATATCATACATTTTAACAAATTATGTATATATTTTATCACATTTTTTTAAAACTTCCAGTTGTTGGTGGCAAAGGGCATTTTTACCTAACCCTGCTGGGTCTCTGTGAACGAGAGTATCACACTGGACCCTTCAGAGCCCATCTCTTTATGCTCTGAGCTCACACCTTCTAGCATCACTTGGTCAAGCAGATGAGACTTGGTTAATGAGACTCTGGTCTACTGGGCTATAGCAGGAGGAGCAGTAACTGGCTTTGGGCATGGTTGCCTGACCTACGAGACTACCTTTACCTTAAATCCTTTCCTTTAGTGGTTTTTAACCTTTGAAATCCTTTGAGCATCTGATAAAAGCTTGAGCCTCTTGCTAGAAAAATGTCAATAGACATAAGATTTCTGCTTATAATTTTAAGGGTTAACAGCTCCTCTGGGGTCCCCTACGAAGTCCAAAGGCCCCCAAGTTAAGGACTTTTGTTCTAAAGTGACCTCCAAGGGATATCTGTCCTCTTACTCAAGTAACAGATGTCAGCTAAGGGCGAGCTGCTTTTATATTTTACAGACACTGTTGTTAAGGGTATTTGTTGTGACAGACTCTGGCTCTGCCAACTCTAGGAAAAGTTTAACAATCTCCATGAGCACATATCAAGAGAATATAAGCAGGGACTAACTATACATACCTAAGTCTGCTTTTGTTCAGCCATCCTGGGTTTAACCTCAAAAAAATGAAGCCGAAGGAAGGAAAGAAGTGATGGACGTAGTTACTTGGATGAATTTAGCAAGAAAACAATAAACCAAATTACTCTCTGGAGTAAAGGAGGGACTGAGGGGCTCCTTTAGAGGTCTTTACCTTCCTGGCACATTATGCCAAGAAATCTTTCACATGTTTAATCTGGGAGGGGTGGACATTCTCTGATTGGCTCTACAACTACCATTAGGCATTTGCTGGCAGAATGCTCACAGACCTCAGGAAAGCTAACCGTTCCACTGTAGTGCAAAGAAAACATGCCAGTGAACATCCTTTAGTTGGCCCAAAGAGGGGCAAGATGAATGAACCGAAAGCCTCAGACAAGCCCCTGCACTTGTGTCCCATGCAGCCTGAGTACTGTAGCCTCCCCTTGACTTGGCTAATGTTCTATATATATGTCACCTTTTTCTGCTTCCCAGTGCAATGGGCCTTGCGTTGGGCCTCACCTCGCTGTGCAACACAGACAGGTCTTCTGCCAGACGCTGGATGGCATCACCTTACCGTCAGAGCAGTGCAGTGCCCTTCCAAGGTAAGAGAAAACCATGGACCTCCTACCCCAGCCCGTGTCAATAGCACAGATAGATTGTGGCGAATGAATGTTTCTCCTCCAATCTCCCCCAGTCCCAGGGGTCAAATGCCCTGCCCTTTCACCTCAGTTGTCCGTAGGCCCTGGCCTCCCCAGAGGTAGAAGGCTCAGTGATGGTCTTGTACTTGAGGAATGGGCCAGGCTGGGCTCTCTTTCCTTGGAGATGAGTGCGTAGGTTCCTCTGAGGAAAACCTGATACCACAAGAGACCTGACTAGCCCCAGGTGGGCATGAGGTGAGGTCCACAAAGTGGCTACCATATCTTAAGGGCTTCAGCATCCCCCCACTCTCTTATCGACCTCCTCTAGAAGTTATGCTGATGTGAGGGCCTTTGTCCCTGGGTCTCTGCCTATCGTCTCTGTCTAGCCTCCATTTCCTGTCATACCTCCTTGTAAGTGTCCCCCTGGGGTGAGGGCTCACCACCCCCATGTAAGGCCCCAGCCCCTGAGACTGCATCCAGGGTCTGCCTCTGCCAACCACATCCCAGGTAGAGCTCATTGTCAGATCCTACAGTGAGGTAGACATTGTAGAGATGAGCAGTCGGAGTCCCAGTTAGAGGAAGTGGCCTCCTGAGATCTTATAGCCATTTAGTAACAGAGCAGAGATCAGAACCCAGATCGGGTAGCACTGGAAGGTCATGAGTTGCCCAGCATTCTTGGGTTTGCAGCATTGTTTTCACATATGCCCCACACACACCCAGTCTGGCTCCGGTCCCCACAGAGGCAGACCCTAACCCTGCCACCTTCCTCCTGCAGGCCCGTGAGCACCCAGAACTGCTGGTCAGAAGCCTGCAGCGTACACTGGAGGGTCAGCCTGTGGACCGTGTGCACAGCGACCTGCGGCAACTACGGCTTCCAATCCCGGCGTGTGGAATGTGTGCACGCCCTCACCAACAAGGCAGTGCCCGAGCACCTGTGCTCCTGGGGGCCCCGGCCCGCCAACTGGCAGCGCTGCAACATCACCCCATGCGAAAACAGTAGGTTCCAATCCCAAAGAGCCTTCCGCAGATTCCCTACAGGGCACTGGGTGCAGAGGGCAGTCTCTGGGCCCACACCTGAGCAGAGGGCATTGAATCGGGCTTCCCAAGAATTGTGAGCTAGGGCTAGAGTTGGGTATTTTTAGAGGGGTGCATGGGTGTGTACACATATTCAGCCTAAGGGCTTCCTCCTGGCCCTGAGACAGCCAGGCGCTGCTGGCCGACTGCCGGATGAAACCAGCCTCCAGCTCACCTATAGTCGGTTGGCTGGTGCGCACAGGGGATAACTGAACAGTGGCTCTTGGGGGAAGGCTACTACAGAGAAAGCACTGTTCACACTGAAACAGCACACAGAGTGCCTTCTGCTCAGTAGGCCCTGCACCCATCACGGCCCCCTGACCACCTCCTGCCTCCCCTGCGCCATGGGCACCAACCACACTGCCCTGCCCGTGGGATCTGACACTCATTCATGCCCTCCTCCCGCAGGCCCTCAACCCAGCACCAGCTTTTGTATCCCTGTAGGGTGGGAATCTATTTTTTCTTTTTTCTTCCTCTGGACCTAAAACAGATTGGAGGTGCTTCCCCACAGGGATAAGACAAAGCGTGAAGCAAAGAATAGGAAACTGACATAGTGCAGGACCGTCTCCTCCCAACAGGGCCTCACTGAGCATCAGATTCCCCCGAGGCAGAGTCCCGGTTGCTTTCTCTACACTGGGGAGGGATGGTCTTTGTGGTAGGAGCTCACCACACTCAGAACCAGTGTTCAATGAAAGTAATTCAGACACACACACCGAAAAAAAAAAAACCTGGACTCACATGTCAGATTTCCACAACCCCAGTCAGCACCAGTGTTGAAGAACCATGTAGTCCGTGCCAGTACTGAACTAGAGCCATGGTGTCCCAGTAAGGCCTGGTTATAGGGAGGAGCAGAGAGGCTCAGGTGGAAAATACGAGAGAACAAAGCTTCACAAGGGAAGGCAGGCTCAAGCTCCGGGGATGAGGCGTCATCAGCCAGGGCCTCACTTACACGCTCCCTCGAAGTGGAACAAAATTTAGTCTTTCCAGGAACCATCTCAAGGAGAATCACTTGAGGTGATACCATGCGAGAAGACAAGCTTGCCTGGGAGGTGGACAGATCCAAAGAGAGGGAGCCGACAGGACAGGCACCGGCAGGAAGGAGGGAGCTCTCAGCTGGGCAGCAGCTGCAGCCCGTGGGTGGGGGCAGAGCGGGTGGGGTGGGGGTGGCTGAGCCCCACTGGAGCAAGACCAGCCCAGAGGAGCTGGACAGCAGTGGCCCCACCAGGACAGGTGTCTGGTGGCCAAGGCAGACCTCAGGAAGCACCCAGCTGGCCACAGCCATGAGCCTCTGTTCCACGGTTCCTTTCTGTCCCCCACCCCTCTCCTCCTCTCCCAGTGGAGTGCAGCGATACCACCAGGTACTGCGAGAAGGTGAAGCAGCTGCAACTCTGCCAGCTCAGCCAGTTCAAGTCTCGCTGCTGTGGAACCTGCGGCAAGGCGTGAAGACCGGCCCGGGGAGGACCTCGACCCTGCCGCGCAGAGGACTCACGCGCCCGCCTCGGACAGAACTAACGCTTTCTTCGTTTTATTTATTTATTTCCCCCTCCCTGCCCCCAACCACACACTCCCTCGTCCAACCCCCTC